TTGTAGAATGAAGGGGAAAAGGAAAATTTTAAAAGATAGGGGCCGGGCCTTGAAAGGCTGCCTACGTATCTCCGAAGGAGAATTCAGGCCCTACGTAGTTCGAATACAAAAGAAGTTTCATTTTCATTCATTCATTTCTTGAAGATTACAAGGAAAGTGAAAAACAGACAATAAAGCTCCTAAAAGATAAAATGTACCTCCACCCAAACCATTCTTTTTCCGATTGTCGCATTAATCACGGGGGGTAAACTCATATGCTTCGAGGGTGGTTTTCTCATTCCCTTCCTTCCATCGTCCTTGAAGAGGAGGCCTATAGACAATTCCTCCCCAGTATCTTCTTCAGTAGCTTCAGGTCTGGTGCCTTCGGGACCACTGATGTTGGCCTCTTTGTTGAAGAAAGAGTGTTTTCCAAGTGGCTTCCGAAGCATCATAGTTATATCTTTGTTGAAGACATCGCGTTCCTTCCGCACATCAGCTATCTCTTTATTTATAACATCACATTTTGTCATTTTTGCTGCCAATTCCGCGTCTAGTGCCGCATTTGTTGCTCGTGCGATTGCGGTGGAAAACTCCACTTCTATTCTCGTTTCTCTGGTTTCTTGGATCTCTTGTCTGAGCCGCTGTAATTTCATCCTCAAATCCTCCTCAGTTAGCTCTATATCGATACCCTTCCCTTTTTCCATCTTAGCTGCAATTTTACCTTTCCTGAGATAATAGAGTAATGTTTTAGGATTTAGTAGTAGGATTTTATTTCTGGTTGAGAAACTCAAGACTCAAGGAATTTTAGTTGGACATTTGGTATTGACTTGTATTTGGTATTGGAGAAATTTTTAGAAAATTTCCGAAAAGAAGTAGGCTAAAAATGTCCTCATTCAAAGCAACATATCACATAAACAGTTAAGTCACACAAATATCGCGTCCTAAACATGCATGTAACCCTTTTATGCCCAAGGTAGGCCTAGCGATTTGAAGGATGTATTGCGCTTTTTAAAATAAATTGTTGCATCCCCCAAATAAGATTCATAAACAATAGAGAATTCATTACAAAGTTAAGCAAAGGGATACATCTTTTAGGGAAGGAATAAACTGCAAATACAAGAACATCAATCCCACGAAGGGGAATAAGATAACTAAAATTCTGAAGGACCTGCTCATCCTCTTGCTTTTTCCACTTCTTCACGAATGAGGAACTTGCTAGTTATCACATGCGGCTCAGCGAACACAGCTTTGGAAGACATCGACATGCCCTGGAGGGTGTTAAGTTGATCATCTAAGTTCAAGTCCAAACGTATCAGGCAGGCTCTCGCGTTAGCTAACTCTTGCGTGGCAAAGGCTAATGCCCTTTGGCTTTCATATTCTCGATGCTGGAACTCTTGTTCCCTACGCAGGTATTCTTGCTCCCTACGTTGAAACTCTTGCTCTCTTCGGTCCCATTCCTGCTGAAAATGGTAGGCTTGGATTTGGAGCCTTACTTGGACATATTCAATCTGTCGGCCCATGCGTGGCGTCGGGTCAAGTGTACCACATAGATCATCCTGCAACCATTTTTTGTATTCATTCACATACCTGACTTCATATCTGTTTTCTGCCATGCTCTTCTTTATGTTGAGCCGTCCAGCCCATTCTTAACGAATATCCTTGGCGTAAGGTATCTTGTCACACCCATTGTAGTAAAAAACGTAGCGGTTAGTGTCTCATTTGAAAGGTAGAATCTGTGTTCTGCCGAATTGACGCATTACCCTGCTAGGATTGTAAGGTCGTACCCCTCTAATGCCAGGAAGGATTAGGAAAGGACACTTAGCCCCCTGAATAACTATTTTTCTGACATGAAATCTTGAAACATCCATTGTACGTTTCCATCTTTTATGTCATGGAAGACTTTAGCCCATACTTCCCTAGTGTTGTGGATCTTAAACCTGTTGATGCTCAAATGAAACTCGTAATGGTCGAGGTGGCTTTCTTTTGTAGTTCGGCCAATTTCTGTTTCTGAGTCTCCTATGTCTTCACTAGATGCTTAGACATCCACCACTGTAGCAAGATATTACAACCTTGAAAAAATGGAAACCCATTTTTGCATTGACCCAAAGATCGGTAGATATCGGCCAGAATGATCGAGGCTAGGTTGAAGTATTTCTTAACCTGTCCTTTCTTACCAACACCCTTGAAGATGGCGTGTGTAACCATGACAACCCGAGTATCAATTTCATTCCCTTCACCTTGAGGGAATACCATCGTCCCTAAGAGGCATACGGTAAATGCTAGAGTTTGAGTTTGACTTCAACTACTGTGACTGTGAAACTCATTTGGAGAATTCTGATAATAACTCTCGTGACCCCATTGTTCATAGAATTTCACAAATGAAATACTCTGGGTGTCTAGCCAGTGTGCATTTACCAATAACAATATGTTTTTCAGTTTTGTGCTGGTTGGCTTATCTGGTAGCAAAATGTGATGATCTGGATGATTTTTACTTTTCTGGCACATCCCGATGTTGTCTAGACAATCTTTGATCTCTTCAACTGTTGGTGTCATTTCGACATCTCCGAAGCAAAACACCATCCCCTCATCATCCCAAAATCGAGTGACCACCTCAATGAACTTAGGCCAGACGTTGAGATTCATTATCGATGGGAGATGACCCAATGAATGAAAAGTTCTTTTTTCTGATATGCATTGAGATTGTACCACCCAGGGGCGGATTTACGTTGAACCATGGGGGTTCATCCGAACCCCCACCGTCGAAAAATTACACTATATATATGATTAAATTTTTTATTTATGTGTATATATATAATATTGAATCCCCTGAACATACACCAAAGGCGTAGCTCAGTGGCGTTGGGGGTTCAAGAATTCGCGGTCCAACACGTGAGGTCGCGTGTTCGAATCCGAACAGAGGCAATTTTTTCTCAGCTTATATTTTAGGCGGGAATTTAAGATTTATTACTTTAATTCCTAAATATAAAGTCAAATATTAAAAAGCCCCTTTCTTCTTTATTAAAACCCTGAGAATCCCTAATTACAAAGTCAAATATTAAAAAACCCTTTTCTTCTTTTAGAATTTTTTCACGTTTTATTTTTTCATCGTTCTTCTTCCTTGCTCTGGCTGCTGCTTGTAACTGCTGGCTGCTCCTTGTCACTGCTGCTTGTTGCTTTTGTTGGATTGGTCATTATTGAAATCTTGAAGTCTATATCCGCAATCTTTTCTTACATCTCCATTAATAACTACTTCGGTATGTTTTTGGTTCCCTTTTTTCTTACTAGATTTCTATATACCTTATTTTGTTATTTCTTTATGTTGCTTTCTTTTAGTTGGCTGAATTATTGATATCATTAAAGTTTTATTTTTTTTGTTTGGCTAATTTAATATATTTTCTTAATCTAAAATTGGAGAGATAGAGAAATATAATGTAATAATCAAATAACCATTGCTTAAGCTTTTTGGTTTTGGTCCTTATTGTGTGTATGCTTTTTTTTTTAGTAGTTCTGACTTTTGAATGTGTGTTTATTTCTCTTAAATTCTAACTAAACTTTTACTTTACAATCCAGTCTTAATATTCAATGAAGAAGTATTTTACCCCAATATCGAAATCAAGTTTAGCCTCTCATAGTCATAGTCAATCTAACCAACAAGAAAATGTCAATCATTCTGAAGTACCATCACATTCTTCTCAAGAATTTGATTTGAGTACTTTAAAGTTTGATCCCGGTGAAAGAACTCCAATATTGAATTATCATCCAAATCATCGTGATGTTATTAGAAGGGCATACCTTGTGAATGGTCCTTGTCAACCTCGCTTGGAGGTGCATGAGTACCCTCAAACAAATATTTCTGGAGCAATACGTCGTTTTAATCATGAATGGTTTGATGATGTATATCATGATTGGTTGGAGTACA